TTATGCTTTTTGGACTGCGGCACAAGCACATCCTGAATGTGCAATGAAGCCTTAAACCAGACCAGGCAACACTACGAAGCCCGTTCTTTTTAATACACCGGAAAAGCTGTCCCTCAGAAACCTACATCTCTGAAAGCATCCTCTAAGCACCTCCAGTGGAGCTGCTGTTCAGCCATGGTTAGAAAATTCTGCTCAGTTCAGCACATTAGTCTGATCAGCTCTGTCTTTTCCTTTCCATGTCCTAACCACCACACGTTAGCTAAGCTTGCCTAGACAGGAGAAATCCAAATACCCCGCACCAGCTTTTGGACTTGATTTAATGTTAACAGCAAGCTCTGCAGTTCTTTGAGTAGTTCTGGGCTTGGCAGAAAATATTCTGGCAGGGGAATGGTCTCTGGCTGGGCTACACTGACAGGCAAGCCTGCTGCCTGCCGGCACGGCTGCTCTGGCCAAGCAGGTCATGTATTTGTGGGAATATATATTCCCATATCTTCATGGGAAATGTCATTAAAATTCTTTATAGGCATTTTAGTTGACTGATGATCAATCACGCTGCCTACCTGCTGATGACACCGGTCCTTGTCCCTCTCTGAAACCATATTCTGCAGGATGGCTATTTCTTCCCTCAGAGCCCCATTGGCCATTTCACTCTTGGTAAGGGTAAGAGTCAGCGCTTGTTCCTTCTCTTTCCATTCAATTTCTCTGCTTTCAGTCTGCTTCAAAATAGCAGTCACACGCTCCAGTTCTTCCCCCTTTGCTCTCCTCTCATCTTCCAGTTGTTGGGTTAGTTCCTGTTGCCTTTGCAAGGAATGGTCTCTCTCCTCGAGAATCTTTCTCTTCTCTGCTTCCTCTTCTTCCCATTTTTGGAGTTTCTGGATTTGCTTCTTTAGGGTCTCTCCATCATCTTTCCATTGCAAAGCTGATGTTAATTGTTTCAGGAGTTCACTCTGCCTCCCAAGCTCTTGTTCTCTCCCTGTCAGAGTCTTCTCTAAATACCTGACTCTGTCCCTCTGGTACTTGATCTCATCATCCTTCTTTGTCAGAGTCTGCTGAACATGCTGGAGATCTTCCCGAAGGCCTCTTATTTCCTCTTCTAACTCTTTTTGCTCACCTTGAGCCTTCGTCTCTTGTTCCCTCTCAGGCAAGGCTTCTTCCAGGAGCTTCTCTTGCTCTCCATGCTGTCTAACCTCTTCATTCTTCTCAGTTTGCCTAAGCTGGAGATTCTGCAAGGTCTTCAGTTCTTCTTCTTGGTGCTGGAGTTTTTGCATAAGAGTTTCCTTGTCTTCATCTCTCTTTCTCACCATTTCCTCAAGTAGATTAACTTGCTTCTGGCATGATGTTAGTGCTACTTTCATGCTTTCTTCCTGAAGCTGGAACATGTTCATTTGCTCTGTCTGCTTGAGGAATTTCAAATGGTTCTCCTTCAATATCTGGCTCATTTTTTCTAGATCCTGCTCTAGCCTCTTGGCCTGCTTGCCTTCTAATTCCTTCTGCTCTCGAAGGTCCTGGACATGCTCTTGCAGAGACACTATCTCTTGATCTCTAGCTTCTAGAGAACATTCAGCAAATTCTAGTTTTTGCAGGATGGCTTTTGTCTGCATCACTGCCTCCTCCTTTTGCTGCTGAAGCTTAGAGATAGCCTCCTCCAGAACCTCTATCTTTTTTTCTCTTTCTTTCAGAGTCAGTTTTGTTGCTTGAAGATTTGTTTGCTCAGCTTCACACCTTGCATGCCTCATGTTGCTTTCTAAGGGATAAAATTTCTTCCTCTTTTTCCTTTAGTGTCACTTGAAGATGCTGCAGAACTTGCTTCTGCTGTTCCAGGTCTTGTTCTTGTCTTTGGAAGGTCTCAATCAGTTCCTTCTGAGATTCAATCATTAAATCCTTTTCTTTCACTATTGCCTTAGTGTATTCTAAGTCTCTATGTAAGACATTCATCCGTTCTTCTGTTTTTTCCTCATAGCTCCGTGTTTGCTGCTTTTGGATGTCTGTGAGTCTGTCCTTTTCTTTTAAGGTTTCTAAGGTCTGCTCCAGTTGGTCACGGACAGTCCTTAATTGCGTTTGCATGACTTCTTCAGCTTCCTGGATTTGCTTCTGTTGTGACTCAAGCTCTTGATCTTTCTCAGATAAACAGAGTGCCATCTTTTCTACTTTACCACGAAGCTCTTGCAGGTGCCCCTCTTGCTGTTCCTTGTACTGCTGCAAGAGTCTTAACTGACCCCTTTGAGAATCACACTCATTCTCTCTGTCCTTAAGAGCTGCCCTCAGCTGTTCCAGGTTTGCGTGCAGAGATTTCAGCTCTTCTCTCTTCTTTTCCAGTTCTTGGATCTGCTGAGTCAGAGACATCACCTCTATGTTTTTCTCCTTCAAGTTTTCTTTCATATGATCAAGTTCCACGAGAAGATTTCTCACTTGTGATGTACCGTGTTGTTCTAGAATAATTATTTTCTCCTCCTGGAATTTGATCTCCTGGACTCGCTCCTCCAGCTCTTTGTTCATCTTGCTGACTGCAGTCCCCTGCAATTCTCGCTGCTTCTCCAGCTCCCGCAGCTGTTCTCGCTGGGCTCTGATCTCCCGGTTTCTCTCTTCCAGCTCTCTGCTCATTTTGCTGAGGGCAACCCTTTGGTTTTCTTGCTGCTTCTCCAGCTCCTGTATGTGTTCTTGCTGGGATTCTGTCTTCTGTTTTTCCTCTGTTAGGTCCTTAATAACCTGATCGACAGCAGTTTTACACATTTCTCTCTGCTTCTCCAGCATTCTCATCTGTTCCTGGCAGAGCTTCATTTCTCCCTCCCTCTGGGACAGGATGGCACTTGTGTGAGTGAGAGTCTCCTGCAAAGCTTTGACCTCTGCTGCCTCTTTCTGCAGGATCTGTATTTTCTCCCACTGCGTTTCCACTTCCTCAGTTTTCATTTTTAAGACAGACAGTGTAGCTTGGAGTTCTTGTTCAAGGGAGCGGTTCGTATCTGTTGCCGTATTGGCTCGGGTTTCAGAGGCTGTGACCAACTCCTGAAGACGTTTTATCTCGCACACCAGTTTTTCTCGATCTGCTTGCAGTCTGTCCCGTTCATGCTGCAAAACAGGGAGCAAAAGATTCAGCAATTCCATCTACACCTGTTTGGTTTTCATATTAGATTTGAACGCCTGCTCCGGTGGCACTCAAGGGCTGAATTTTGAGCTTTTAGTAGAACATCTGAGCTACTCAGTGGATTTCCCTGTTCAATGCACATGTTCTGCTGTCACTCTAAACGACTGGAGAACTGTACTGTATTTATCAAACTCTGTCCATCATGCATTTTTGGAGCCATTGTAAATGGAGAAGTGGGAAAATACTGATCATGTAAGAACAGCTGCAGTGGCTCTAATGTCTCTCCTAGTGTCCTAACAGTGCCCCTGAGCGCAGACCCAGGGAAGAAAGCCTAGAGTGGGGCAGACTTAGATGATACCTCCCCTCCCCAGCCCCAGCACTTTTCCAGCTTGTGAGAACTTTCACAGTCTCCTGCTGACCCCATAAAGACCTGCTGTATTTACAACACCCTTTGTCAACGAGTTCAATGTAAATAAGTTTGAAAATTACTTTGACTTAAGCTTCAAGGGCAGAAATCTTCACATCTGAGGAAAATAACCATCCTGAATCACAACTGAATTGTGTATGACTATGGCATCTTTTCCTGCTTATTCAGAAGAATGCAATTGGAAAAGTTAAACGAAAAAGCAACCACTGGTAAATACAATATTATTCTGCTCTTGTAGTGGTCTGTGGTCTCTTCACGTACTCTCTGATATTGGTCATCTAAAGATCTCTTTCTGGTCTGTTTTCTCTTGCTCAAGGTGATGACTCTGCTAATTCAGCTACATGGCCTGGCAAGAAATGCAAAGTCTGGGAAACAAGGAATGATGCATGGAAGGAAGGGGAAAATGAGGGAAACTTGATCAGTGTTTGTGTACTCTGTATCTTCTCTGATTTGGACTGAACTTGTACAAGACCACCCAAAATCAGCTCTCCACTGGAAAAAGTTGCTCCTTAGAATTATTAACAGAAGGCCAAAATATATGTAAGAAATGGCCCTTCACAACATCTGCCAGCCTCACCAAAACATCCTTTCTTTGCTTCTCAGCGCTGTCGAGTTTCCTTTCCAGAGATGCCACCTCTTGATGTAGAGTCACAGCCTCCTCCTTCAGAGCAGCGGCCTCTTCCTGCAAGGCAGCTTGTAGAGAGCTCTTCTTGCGTTCTGCCATCTGTGTCTCTGCAGCAGTAAAGGTGAAAGAGGAGGTGAAAAGCAAAGCAAAACCAAACTGATCTGCATCCTACTGAGAAAACAGCATTTTCTTATCTGCCTGTCTGCGTTTTCCAAGCCCTCAGCCCACAAGGACTTTCAAAGCAGACATAAATAAAGGAAACTTCCCAGAAGAGAAAAAAAGAAGAATGGGAGTGGCAAGGCTCAGATGAAAATGTGTTTGCTCTTCTGCTTGTTGAAAGGCCAGGGCTAAGGACACGGCAGCACAGCACCCACAGTGTTAGAAGCAGGTACAGCTGACATCAGTGAAAGAAGGACAGGGACAGTAGGTGAGAGTCAGACCTAGGGTGCCAAAGCAAAAGGAAGAAGCAGAAGTGAAGAGTGACTGTGACACAGTTAATTGACCAGGAAGACTTGAGAGACACTAGAGAAAAGAACAGATGTCAGTGTTGTGCTTGAAGATGCGCTTTGCTATTTGTCCAAAAGAATGCTAGGGGAATTCCTTGTGCACCATCAGAAGAAAGAAGAAAGGAAATATTTAGTGATACTAGGACAACAGCAAGGCAAGAACCACTGAGCCTCACAGCAGTACCGAGACCTGCAGCAAGAAGGACTACAGATAGACAGGAACTAAAACTAAACTAACAGACTGAACAAACAGGCAGGAACTAAAGAGCCCAAGACCTGACTAGTGGGACAAGCAGGATCCATCCAATGGCAGAATTTAAAGCAGATAAGCTGTTATCATAGTGAAAACTACTGAGGTTCCAGAAAAAGTTATGATCTAAGGCCTGGAAAACTCTCGTGTAATGAGTCTGAAAAATGACCAGCAGTTCCATCTCAGAGAGGGAACATGAAGAAATACTGACCAGGTAACGGCACTACACGAGCAGGTGACAGCCTGTGGGGAGGCAATAAGCAATGCCCACACTTCCCTGTTCCTCTAGTCTGAGACAAGGAAAACAAGACAATGAGATGAAAAAGCAATTCTGATGTGGAGAGTGGGAAAACAACGACACAGAACGGAGCAGGGATGCCTGTCCAGCTCTGATATAGAGAGGCTAATAGTCCTGGAGGCTCTGGGATGGCCTGAAGGTTAGAGGAAGAGGTGACTAGTTACACGTGAGAAACAGTTTATAGATAAACCCAACGTGAAGATGTTACCACAGGCGTCAGTCAGAAGTGGCTAGGGAAGTAAGAGATTGTGTTTGCTGTGGCTGGGAGCTCAGCCACCAAATCAGTATCTGCAGGAAAACAGGGAAGAAGGATGCAGAAGCACTAGGTACCACAGTACTAGGAAAGCAGGAGAAAGGATGCAGTAACACAGGAGCTTAACACAGCACTAATGCTCTGTGAATCTGCCGTGTACGAGGAAAAGGAAGTCAGTAAAAACGAGGCTTTTCACAGGCTGATGCTTTTAAAGAGCATGTGGAGAAGGATGCTGTGAGGCATCAAGCTACACCTAGTTAGCAGTGACATGTGACCTGAAAGGCACCACCTCTGCACAGGTATCACCAGTGGCACGGCTAGATGTGCTGCCAGCCACAGGATCTTTCTCTATGAAAAATTTTCACTGGTAGTTCTAAAGATAAGTCTCACGCTTGTTGTTTTTCTCCTCTCCCCATCTCCGAGCACTGCACTTTTCTTCTGCGTGGAATCAAGAGATCCTCGCTGGTGAGACAGGATGGGGTGAGCGGGTTGGAAAGGAGAAGCTGTACCTTCCTGGCTTTGAGCCAACTGCTTCTGCAGCTCTTCATTGTGGGCACTGAAATGGTCCCTCTCGGCTTGCCTCTGGCTCAGCTCCAGCTCCAACTCCTGTATCTTCTTCCTTGCATCATTCTGGAAGGGGTAAGAAGAGAAATGTCACCTCACAGAGCCACTGCTGGCAGGAGACAAAGAGGTGCAAACACGAAGGCAGAAATAGCCAAGGTGGGAGGGGGCAGCGGGACAGTAACGGCAGATGTGATCACGATTCTCCTTTCTCCCCTCGGCAGCAAGCCAGCTTGGCCTACAAGAATTCACACCAATTTGGCGCTCTGCTCGTCAGAGGGACAGGATTTCCGGGTGCACTAAAGAGACGTTACCAGATCTTGCTGAGTCTGCTTCAGGTGCTGATGCAGGTCTTGTAGGGCTGCTGCCACCCTGTCCACGGTGAGCTCTGCAGGGACGTCGCTGGCCTGAGAAACAGGCAGGCCCCAGACATCACCCTGTTCTGAAGAGAGAAGCCATTCTGTTTCAAGCTTTAATTGAAGGGTCTCCAACAAACAAGGCCCCTTAATACACAGGAGAAGGTGGCAGGGCCTTTGATGTCAACCTAGCGCTCACCTTACAGCGAGACATCCGTCACAGGCTGACGGTATTTTGATGACCACTAACGTCAGCGCTGCCCCAAGGAAGAACGCACACACCCTGTGACTTGATGTGACTTAGGCCCAATTTCATTTTGGTGCTGGTCATTTCTCCACATACAAACGTGGACTTGTCTCTCTGCAGGGATGTCGGGCTTTCAAAACTTCCCAAGGCTCAAGTCAGCCTAAACTAAAAGGCTGAGTCGACCATGTTGGGATTACAAAGAACCACCCCTCCCTCCATCTGCTCTCCTGCATGTGCTCTAGAGACTTGTTCAGCCACTTACTCCAACGGATGAAGTCTCTGCTCTCACAGATCATGCGCTGGAGAACCACGTGCAGTTTGTCCAGCTGGGACTGGGCTTCCCAGCGGGCGCTGTCAGCCTGCTGACACTCTGTGGCCAGCGCCTTTGCTCTGTCCTCTGTGCTGCAAAGCCTCGAACGCAGTTCAGACATCTCAGCCTCCAGCAAGTGCAAGGAGTCCCTCAAGCGCCGTTCGCCTGCTCGGGACTCCTCCAGATCCTGTAGCAGCTGCTTCTCCTGAGCTGCCAGGCAAGCCTCCTTCTCCAGCACCACTGCCTGCAGTGCCTGTATCTGTAACACAACGCACAGAGCCTCAGGGACACTGCTGCTGCTCAGGCAGCAGAGCGGGAAGTCAAGGAAGGAATGAAGGAGGAATCACTTCAAGCAAAAAACACACTGGAAACAGAAGGCACAAAGCCAAGGATTCCAACTTAGCAAAATAAGCTAGAAATTGGCTAAGGGGCCAAAAGGAAATTTCCCCATCCCCGAAGACATGGCTGAACTATCAGGCTTTCATGCTTTCCAAACTCAGAAATGAAGCTGTGTGTGTGTGAGAGAGAGAGGGCAAGAGTGGGTGGCTGGCAGGGCAACGGGGCAGATCAAGCACCCCTGCATGGAGAGCGGGGCTGCTGCCAGG